TACGACAACACCACAGTGACCGGTCGCTGGATCGAAATCGTCAACACAACCGCCCTATCCGAACAACATGGTCGCGTCGTCAACAACATCACTGCCGCCTACCCGCACGGAGGCCTCTTCGCCGCTGCACGCAACCCCGCGAATAAGATCCAACAGCCCGTTGACATGTCTGGAGAGGGCAAGTACATCATCCAAGCCTCTCTCCCATCGCCCGCTATCAATGTGATGTGCGTCGGCATGTCGCACGACGAGCTGAAACCCCTCATCTACACCGAGTGGCCCAACCATGAGCCCTTCAACGCATCGACGTGGGCAACCGCCGCACCAACATACTCAATCAACACTAACCGCACCGTCGTCGATGACCTCTTCGGTTTCAGCGAAGACCAAGGCGCCCCTGTTTTCCCCATCTACCCCGAAGCCTACAACACCATCCTAAACCCCAAAGTCGACAACACAACCTCCATCTACATATTAGGCAGTGCTCCTCTAGGCCACGACCCGAAGTACGTCCTCTGCGGACTGCGCGGGAAGCTTTCAGGTCGCTGCTCAGCGCAGTACCAGGTCGATCCGAGCGGCGGGGATTTGAGATCACGCTGCGAAGACGCTGCCGACACGCTGCAGTACAACCGGATACATCCTAACACGTCGGAGGATCAGTACCTGATAAATTGGAAAAGCGTGGCATGGGAGTGGGCAGACACGGTGACTCTCGCGTCAGGCATCATGGGTGACGACGCCGCTATTGAACGCACGATGATGGAATTGGTTCCGAGCTTCGATAACACCACTAATAGCTCTTCCCTGGATCCTCGACTTCCCTCGCTCAGTGAAGCTTTGGCCGTCTTAGCAGGGAGTACCGCCCTCCTCGGTAGCCAATACTCTCCATTTGTTCCCGATTGGAATTACTCCGAGCCTAGTCTAGATACCCCTGTCGTGCAGGTGTTCAACGCGACACTGCAGTCTGCGGGCTATGCGTCTGGCCGGACGAGTGACTGGCAGCAGGTGTTCTATGTCATTCTGGCTGTGGTCTTCCTGACGAACATCATGTGTCTGGGGTTCATTCTCTTCCAAGGACGTGGGCAGTTGGTGACAGATTTCACGGAACCACCGAATCTGTTCGCTTTAGCTGTGAATAGTCCGGGAACTGTGCATGCGTGGTCTGGAGCGCAGCTGGGAGCGGCGGGGACCCCGCGTTTGCGCGATCGATGGCATGTCGATATGCGCGAGGAGAGCGGGCATTATTATATTCGTACCCGCGGACAGTTGCAGCACTTTGAGGATAGGACGGCGAACTAATGGATATGATGTGATGATGTGAGGGTGGTTGAAGCTTTTCATTTATATTTACTGCATTGCAGGTGTTGGCGAATAGCGTTTATTGCATTGGACAGATAGTATTGTAATAATGAATCGAGATCACGGACGACTTTCCCCTAATTGTGTTCGATGCTCGGAGTTGATTTGTCATGTCACCTACTCACCGTGAGGATTAAACCACTTGATAGCATAAAAGCCTCGGTTCAAATGAGAGAGTCAGCCAGCCAAAGATCCTCAGGAATTCCCAAAGATATGGCGGACGGCGGATGGGTATGCAAGGGTGGTCCGCGGGGCTGGTTCTGCCTTTCGTGTTCTCGGACAGTAACCATGAGATCGATCCTGAGGCACCACGGATGGATGAGGAGGTGAAATCCTCGTTCGTCCGAGCGCCCGGAGCCGAATAAAGACATTTCTAGCGATATACCGGAGATACTACGGACGACGACCTGGTTAGTCTCCGAGAATCACAGATTGTTATTGAATCGTCTATCAATGCGAGTGTCACGATTAGGAGAGTTCCATAGTTGTGGAGAGAATGATGTCTGCTGGGTATCCCTCAGGAAGCTCAAAGACCGCGGGTTCTAAAATAGAAACCGAGAGGAATTGTTGGTCCTGATAGTAGCATTCCAATGGTGGGTCGAGATAAGACGGGCTGCCAACTCGATAACTTCCAATTCTCAGTTACATGCTCGTTTGAAGAGCTTCGTCAATACTTATTGTGAGATTCTACTCAAAATCCTTTCATGCAGCAGTCAGCTGTATAGCATTAAAAGCATTGATTGGACCCATGCCCATTGCTGCCTTTGTTGCGAACTCTAATAAGCCCAAGAATATGTGCTGTTGTGTTTAGTACTATTGAACGATTCAATGTAAACGTGGTGTCTCATTGGCCGACAACTTACATATGCCGCATACATCTATCCATTCGGGTTATTTACAATGATAGTCTGCAATGCCAACCTCCACAGACTGTCACACCGACGAGAACCATCACAGATCCCCCTAAACAAGTATCTTCACCTGTTGATTGCGCTGAGATAGCTTCCTATCCTCAGCTCATAATATAGCCAGTGTCTTTTGTAGTTTGTCTTCCTTTTTCCAGCACCCCCCACACATAGGTACCCGTCCATATCGATACTGTGCTTTTCTATGGAGAAAGGACGGCATGACACCCAGCTCATCATGGATCGGAGAATCGATAGTTGTCCAACCCTGCATTCCGCTTGGGAGAAGATCGACAGAAAATCTGCATTCCGCCAGCTCATCCTTGTCCACCCCTTGCGTCATTCATCGCTTACCTTTAACATCCTCAGCTCAGCCTCACCTGGTCCTCTGAGATATAGTCAAGCTTCATAGCTGCAGATCCCCCTCAAGGACTGCATACTGTTATTCTCCCAGCATCAGATTTCCAACGCAACAGGCAGTCTAGTTGCTCCACCCCGCAGCAAGATGGACTCGCCAGAAAGCGCACCCCCAGGGCACGGGGATCATCTCCCGGGGACTGAGATAATGCACGATAGGGATCCCCACCTGGTTCATGGATCTAAAACTGGGATAGTGTGAGCGGTGTTTCTCGAGCCTAGATGTACAACAGTAGCTCACCTCCATAAGTCTCGTCCCTCAGCCATCAGAAGATCCCTACGATCCGCTCAACTGGGCGCCGAAATGGAAGTGTAAGTTTCACAAACAATCCACGCAATAAGCCACGCTCATCATTCCCCAATGACAGACTTAGCTATAATGTCCCAGCTCGTGACCACATTCGTATCAACAGCGTCAGCATTATCCATGAGCCCAATGTTTCCTGCCTTCTCCGATACCTTCGATCTGAATAACACCCAACTTCTGCTCATCACCGGCGTGTGTATCCTGTCGTTTGCCTATGTCAATTTAATCGTCGTTCCGTGTGCCAATATATTCGGACGTCGCTTTGTTTTCATCGCTTTCTTGTCGCTTAGCGTCGCCTCTTATGTGTGGGAGGCTCTCGCCTCCTCCTATACGAGTTTCATTGTGGCTCGAGTCGTGAACGGAGCAGGGGCTGCGGTCTGCGAGACCGTACCCATGCAGACAGTTGCAGATCTCTTCTTCTTGTATGAGCGAGGACGATGGACCGTAGCCTTTTTGTAAGTTGGAAGACTGACAAAACACAAAGGCTATTTAACTGACAGAACAATTATAGTACCGCGGCCTCGTTTGGCTCTTTCCTCGGGCCGGTCATCTCAGGGAATATCACGCAAAGGTACTGTCCCCCGGTCATTTATCACGCTCAGTTGGCATTATTGTAAGTCTGAATGGCTGACTCATGGAATATCAGATTCGGATGGCGTAGCTTCTTCTGGCTATCAATGGCCATGACCTGCTTCAACATCGTCACTATCCTCCTCTTCTGCCCGGAGACGAAATACCACCGTGACCCCGCGTCCAACCCCCCCCGACATACGGCGCACACATCTCTGAAACCAGACACTGAAGGGTCCCCCACAGACACCAGCCCGACCGTAGACTCAAAAGAAATCTACTCAACCCAACCACTACCCCTCAAGCCCGGTACCGGATCCCCGTGCAGCACCCAATACAAGCTATGGCAACCCCCCGACCCGCAATGGAAAGCCTTCATCCTGCGAGACACCCTAACCCCATTCCGCATATGTCTCTACCCGATCATATTCTGGGCCGCGATGGCTATCTCCGGCGTCGCGAACTTTGTTCTCTTCTGGAACCTCACTGAATCTTCTGTCCTCGGTGCCCCGCCCTATAATTTCAACGCCTCGCAAGTGGGTTACTCCAACTTCGCCTTCTTGATCGGTTGCATAATCGGGCTTGTCACGGCGGGGCCATTGTCTGACTGGGTTGCGGTGAAGGCAACGGAGCGGAACAAGGGTGTTTATGAGGCGGAGATGAGATTATTGGGTCTTATTCCCTTTGCTGCGTTACTACTTTTGTCGGTGTTGGTCGGGGCATTTGCCATCCTGGATTTATGGCCCTGGCCTGTTCTGCTGGTGTTTGGGTTCGGACTTAGTGGACTGGTTGTCTCGCCGATTTGTAGCATTGCTGTTGCTTATGCGGTGGATTCGTATAAACCTGTTTCTGGGGAGATCATGGCAGTCATCACAATTATTAGGAACACTTTTGGGTTTAGTATGAGTTATTGGGTGCCGCCGTTGGCGGAGAGGAAGTTGGGGTATTTTTGCCTGCTATGGTGCAGTTGGCGCTAACGTTTGGGCCGTTGGTGTTGGCCGTGCCGATGTATCTTTTTGGGAAGAGGTTGCGGGTGTGGACGAAGAATTCGAGTGTGCATTTGTATGGGGGATGATAGGGTTGTTCCACTTTCTGATATACAATATATAGTAATTGTTGTTTTTCAGCCTAGTACTTATTTGCACTGCTTCGGTGTAGGTCATTGACTGACGTATTCCGGAAATGGTGTAATATTTCTAAACTATCAGGTACACCAAGCTGAGTAACTGTATCTTCTCATAATTGCTGCTGCTCCAATTTCAGTAGCTACTGGGTATCCCGAAAATCTCCCTGTCCAGAGGGCACTGCGCATGGCGGACCCGGATGTGCACTATGGGCTATTAAAGTGGGTCCGCCGTCTTCGCTATATACATCAACTCGTACTATGTACTATGCATAGATCATGTCTGATCCTTCTATATGCTACAAGCTCTTTAATTGCTTCATTCTGGACCATTGCGAACAAGGTGTCCGTCGCTGTCGTCGTTCAGGTCCCGATCGGCCATAGTAGTGGATAACGCTCGATCGGTTATTGTCGTGGAGAGTGTCTGATCATCCGTACGGGATTCCTCTACATCCACAGTCTGCATGATTATGATGCTGTCGACCGCTCGTGGGAATCTCTTCGGGGGTGGTTGCGTAGGGTGTGGGGGCGTCTCTGGCTGCCTGGCCCGTCGGAGGCTGTACAATGTGGGCACGTTGGCAACTAGGGCCGAAAGAAGTTCCTCTATGGGGCTCAATATTGTCTGCAAGGAAGTGTCGAGTGAACCTTGGTGGAATGGGAAACGAAGAGCAGAAATCACCACGAGGACTATGCCGATGGAGAAGAGGCCAATGAGCTGGGCCCGTCTTCGCATCGGTTAGTATGGATGAGAATCGTTGGTGTCAACATTCGAACTCACTTGTACCAGGGACGCCTAATCTTAAGAAGCCAGTGAATCGGAAGAATAATCAGCATTAAGTCGGTGACACAGTTGAAAACGGCATGGGCCGATATGTGGTATGTCGATCTGATACAAGGACCTGGAATCGAAGAGTGTACAGGTTAGATATTCTGACTAAAACCAAAATAATTTATACCTCGCGAAGTACACACCTGGATCGGGATAGACCTGGAAGTACAGACTCAGTGGTCTGCATACGGTGAGGAAGAGAAGGAGCAACGTTATATAGGTGACGCATAGTATGGCCCACATAACGCGAATCCATATGTATGGCCACGGAAGCACCCCTAGAAGTCGGTTGATGAAGCAGAGAACGACGGCCTTCTGGCACCAAATACTCGACGGTCTCAGTACTATACATCATGTGTGCCACGCATGTCCGCGTGTTCGGATGCTTACTTACTAGGTGAAGTAGATGATCGCACCAGCATAAGTGACTTTGCTGCTCATCTGGGAACGCTTAATATCGGCGCGACTCGGTACTTCGCCCGCCATATATGTGACGGCAACGTTACCAAGCGTCCCGAAAACAAGAGTGATATTCATGATATAGACCAAAAGAAGGCAGCAGAAAAGGGTTATGTAGTCGCTGATGACGAAGGACTGTCGTCGATAGCGGCGCATATAGAGCCGGAGGCCCATGATGCTGATTGCCAGCGTCGCAAGCAGGTACCCCACGATGATGGCGGCATCGCCCCCAGAATTGCTCATTGTGAAGCTTTACGGGACAAGCCTGGACTCATAAACGGGGAAACGGGTACTGGACAGGGGGTTTATATTCAGGTGATGGTCCGGGAGACCTCGAGCATCCCAGTCTGGCCGAGACAAAGAAAGTTTAATTTGGAGCTGCCTCGGAGTCCCAGCCGGATCATAGTTGACAGCTCCGATTCCAAATATATTGCAGATGGTAGCTCGATATTGCTGGAAGTTCTTGAGAGAAAGTGTCGGTAGAATCTAAGGTGTTGGGTTTGACCTAGATCTAACAGTGGGTCTTTGAAGACTATCGGGGACCAGCGCATCCTCGTCGATGAAGATCCGCTTCTCGGGGACTCTTGGTAGGCTCGGTTGTGTCACCTTTGAGTGTGCCATGGGACGATTAGATTCCAGCCTGGCCATAATTTCTGGGAAGCTCAATCTCAGAAAGGGAAAGGAGTGACTCAGCATTTCCCTTCAACACCCCCCCTCCCCCCCAGGCACGGGAGGGATCAACCTTATCCGAGGCCCATGCTCCGACCCAAACATCAACGAGGGCGTCCAAGCGCTCAATAAACTCTTCGTATCACATCAGCCAAGACAATTCAGACAAAGAAACTGAGTAGCTCAGCCAGTTTGAGGGCAGCCACGGGCTATAATACCTTTTCTCCAGCCAATGCATAATGCTACCCGACCATAAGTTCGTTCCAGATAATAGGTCCCTCAGCACCGCATGCATCCACCTACGCCTGAAACAGAGGGCTAAGAAGTCCAGACCCGGCTGTGTAGCCTCGTAAACGGCCAACCCCGAGCTCCAGTCTCCTCCGCGGGCTTCCGACTTCGTTCAACAGCGGTGTTTGGGTCGATGAGCTAAGACGCTGTAGGCTTTGGAAACGTTTGACGCTCGGGTCAATGTGATACCCCCTCTTTTCCTGCAGACCAGGTGACTAGGAATCAAATGCAGGGAAGCTGGATGGTCATGGATTCACGTAAATATCTTCGGCGATGGCAAAGCTGTGAAGTGCCGAGTCAGGGGGTAGACAGCGGCAGCCACCACTTTGGGTAAACTGATGCGAGTCTAAGGCGTTAGTCTAGTTAGACTTGAGGATATTTCTATCACTTTCTCCTCGGAAAGACCGCTCTTCGAGTCAGTCACATCACCAGCGGACGAACGAAAGTACCACCCAAATCCTCCACCTTCAGGGGTAGCCACTTTCTCCCTCTTACAGGCCTAGGCTTTGCATGGCAGCATGTTAGCTCTTTCTCATCATCAATTTGAATCTCACCACGGTGTGGACCGAGCTATACTGTTGTTCCAAACAGTGCAAAAACGCCGCCGGTTAATTTGTCTTTATGGCTTGTTGGGGTTCCATGTAGCTGGGTAGATGGATACTGGGAGAGCCAGCCCCTTATAATTCACTGCCGAGTCCCAAGAGTCAGCAAGCCGGTCGGTCACAAGACTTGAACTTCCTTTATGCGTTGGAGCATGTCCTGCCACTGCAGTGGCCAAGGAAAGCATTCTGAGTAATCCACCACTGTCACTTCCCTCCCAAAGCACTAACTACAACTGGATGTATATATTCAAGGTGTCGCCAACGTTTGTCGCTATTGCTCCACAACAACTGAGACACGTCAGACCACTAAAGCTTAGCATACGATACTAATTACCGCAGTGGTACAATGCAGATTGTTCTACTTTGGAATGTATGCGCCCGTGCAACGCTCGAACATGAGAGCTCATGCAGCCGACTCTTAGGTGCCCTGTCCGACCGCGGGTGTGAACATGGCAGGTAAGAAATATAACAATAGCCTCCCCCCCTTCCCCTCCACGCTGGAGCATTCTCATATCGGCTAAGATCCCACGGCACCAGCAGGTGGTCGTTCATTGGCCTCGGATCCGAGCCCTCGGGTGGAGATGTGTATCCGGACCGCGTGTGGATGCAAAAACACACAATCGACCTTGTCTGACTGCATGGGTTGAGCGTGGGGCGGCACTCTCGCCAACTAGAAAAATTCAGCCAGTGAGGCCTACGAGGGCGGAACCATGGAGTGACCCAAACCTTGGAAAGTGGAATCCGCGCGAGGACCTTGGGAGACAGCTTAACCCGGGCTGCATCTCACGCATTTTGTTCGCCAGCTTGATTGGCCTGCAGATAAGCGACATCCCCATCAGCCCTATAGGGCGCTTGTCATTCCGGCTCACGAGGTGATGCTGCTCAGCCCTACCAATTTGTTTGCGAATGATATCGCCAGGAATGTCATCAAATGGCTCTTTAGAGATGCAGAGCTTCTACGCGATGGTCCATTGAAATGACATGAACTGCTGAGATGATTGAGGATGTCTGCATCCTGTTAAGAGTCGAGCGAGGCAAATCTGGCTAGTCATCCAGTCAAACCCTAGTTAATGGCTATCCCTGTCAGCCTACGCTTGTCGAGATTATTGCGGCCCACAATGGAGGGCACCTGGTTCGCCATCATCAAGCCAGGTACTCCCCTAGACACCACCATCTCCTTCAGCTACACCCCAAGGTCCTCACTCAGTATGCTATAAGATGATCCATCTACAGCTGGGTTTTCATAATGCTCTCTCCAGGCAATCCTCACTTCATTGCTCTCCTCCAACCCTCTCCCCATCTGGTCGCCATGGCTATTTTCAATGCATCCGAGGTGAACCTCCACACGGCCAGCAAAGAGGACGTGCTGTGCTACTATGCCATCTCTGAAAATGACTACAACGGTCATATGGGGGCCCGCATCTCATCCATCTTTGTTATCCTCTTCGTCTCCACAGCCTTCACCTTCTTCCCCGTCGTGGCTAAGAGCATGCCCCGCTGGAAGATCCCTCACAACGTCTACATTTTCGCCCGTTACTTCGGTACGGGTGTCATCCTAGCAACAGCCTTTGTTCATCTGCTTGACCCAGCCTACAAGCGCATCGGACCCAAGACCTGCGTTGGCGTCTCCGGAAACTGGTCCCTATACTCCTGGTGTGCCGCTATTGTGCTCGGCTCTATCACTCTTATCTTCCTTCTAGATCTCGCCGCCGAGGTCTACGTCGAGAACAAGTATGGCATGCACCGAGAGGAGAACGCCACGGACGCCTTTATTTCCGGTGATCCGACCAGCGCGCATAACCACCCCAACCCCGAAGATGGTCGCATGTCCGCAGAAAAGACCTCCCCCACGGCAACCTCCGCAGAAACCTCGTCCGAGCAAGGCGAACGCTCCTTCAGACAACAGATTGCCGGTTTCTTGATCCTCGAGTTTGGTATCATCTTCCACTCGGTCATCATCGGCCTCAACCTTGGCGTGACCGGTTCTGAATTCTCGACCCTCTACCCCGTGCTGGTCTTCCACCAGTCATTCGAGGGTCTGGGTATCGGTGCCCGACTTTCCGCCATTCCCTTTGGACATCGCAAGTGGCTCCCTCACCTGTTGTGTCTGGCGTATGGCCTGACCACTCCGATCTCGATTGCGATCGGCCTGGGCTTGCGCACTGCTTACAACCCGGGCTCGAAGACATCCTTGATCGTGCAGGGAGTGTTCAATGCTATCTCAGCAGGTGTGCTGATCTACAGTGCTCTGGTGGAACTGCTGGCACGCGACTTTATTTTCGACCCGTGTCGTACTCGTCGTCGCTCCAAGCTGTTGTACATGGTGTTCTGTACGTTGTTGGGGGCGGGCATCATGGCCCTGATCGGAAAGTGGGCGTAATTGCCTCGAAGTATGTATGTCAGTAAATTGCTACATCTGAAAAGATACCCTCGACTCTATTTCTAGTCACTGCATAATGGATACTTTCGTGCTTTTCTCTTTATCTATCCGTTTGTTGCTGTAGTATGCCTCTTCTCTTTCTGCACACAGGATAAGACATCTGCCGGTCGCTTAAGCCAATGCTGTCGAGCTTTGACTCTTCAGACTGCCTCCAACAAGTATGCCCCAGTAATTTCTTAACCAGCCGACTGTGTAACCTTCCAAAAGTCCTTACTGGGCTGGCCTCCATCTCTGCATATACCCAGCCACATATTCACGTACGCCACACAAGCACCGCCATGCATATTGCCACATTCGAAACTCTGCCATATTCCGAGGCGATTATTCAGTGCCTGAGGCAGTAATAAATCATGACGGCTCCATCGCCAACATATCCTATGCTTTACTACTACTGCATATGATATGGCTTTTTACGGAGAATAGACGTGAGAACAGAATGATCATATTTCGGTATGATATCCAGGATGACTGACTTTTACGTTCCTCTCACCCGTACTATGCAATTGGCTGGTCCGATCTCAATCCTAATGTTTCTTCCATCGACTTGCCTCGGATGGTCAACAACCCCATATCACGTGGCGCAGAGGATCGTTGACTTGCCCATCCAAGAAGCCTCTGAGCTAATGGAGTTAGGCTCTCCACGATGGGACGCGGGAGGGTCATGTTACTCTCTAGCGGAGTGAACTGGCTGATGCCCGTAGTGATGGAAAGTACACGGCGAGACTCGGTTTTTGTCATATTGGCGCCTCCGCAATGCACCGTGCCATCGATAAGCACCAGAGCATCTCCGGGGTTCATCACTGCACGAACAGCCTGATCCATCGTGGCACCATCAATGGAGTGCCACTTATGGCTGCCCAGAATGACGTGGGTAGCACCGTTCTCGGCCGTGAAAGGCGTCAGGGCGACAATGAAGATGATTGAAGTGGGTGGTGCGTCACGCTTCAGATAGTCAACGATAGGATGGCTGAAGCTCATGTCTCTATGGAAAGATAGAGCTGGTTGAGTTGGTGCATATTCCATTATCGCACCCAGTAGAAGCCAGTAATCACCATATGCTCTGAACGCATCCTTGGATACTCTATTCAGAGCCTCGTTGTTCAAGACATCGTTCCGAAAGGTGGGCGAGAATTCACTCAAAGCATTGACAAACTTGGACGTTGGGGATATCCCATGGTTAGGGTGATCTTTTTCCGAGGCACTCGAAATTGGTTTAATTGCGACGTAGGGGTCGGCGTCAAGATTCAAGCGCCGCACGACGTCCAGAGGAAGAAATTCCTCGATGATTGCAGCCCCATATTCCTGGGTGGTCGGCCAGATCTTGTCGAGATCACGCTTGCCGGAGACTCTAGGAATTTCTTCCTTAGCCTGGTTTTGGATAGTCATTGTGAAGATCAATATGATGCGACAGTCTGCTGTGGATACTTTGAGAATGAAGGGGGGAAGGATAGACCCCGCTTGGAATTGTTATTATCATGGGATGCTCTTTTCTTGAGGGGTCTATCCTTTAAAAGCATAGATTTGCGCCTCTCACTGACCCGATGTGAACTGGTGTAACATACTCCTTGCAGTTCTTGCCCCCCACCCTCTTCGTTTCTTCACACCTCTTCCAGGATCCTTATTATGAAGATGTGTATAATGCAGTGTAACCCTACATTGTCGTCTCGCTTTTCCTCAGATGCGACATCCTTTCATTTGCTGTGTTTAACAACTTGCTGCGAAGAACACTGAGCTACTCCCCACCTCCCTCCCCTGGCCACACGGACGCCTGATATTAGATTTTTTTTTTTTTTTCAAATGCATCGGAGAGTTATCACACATGGCAGGACTGAAATCTAAACTGGACCGATGAGCATGGAAGAATCCCAACCAAAATTGTATACGACGATCGTTAGCCCTTTAGTCAATTACTCGATTAACCCCCCATCCCTTCCCAATGGCTCAGATGGAGCGGGAAACCACTATCTACGCTGAAGTCTGACTTTCATTATTTGGTCATACGTATGTACGCCTTTCTGCCTTTTCCATCCAGTATGCCCTGTTCTCTGGAAAATAGAACTCGCAGTGAGCTTCTCAAAACTTGAATGCTTATCCGAGCAACAAGTCCCTCTCAAGAGACCTTCGTGCTATCTGGTACCTCGACACTGACAGGGCTTCTTTCACGCAGATACACTTCCAGCGCTCCCTTCTCCCAAATGGTGAACGACCGCTGCACATTCCATTTGTCCTGCCCCGGCCCCTGTTCTAGATCGAAATGCCACAGCACACGTGCCATAATACCCCAGATTTCCTGATACGCCAGTTGCCGGCCGATGCAGTCCCGCGTCCCCACAGAAAATGGTCGTAGCACCTCCCGCTGGTCGTGGTAGTAGGGAGATGAGGAATCTTTTGCCTCGGGTAGCCATCGCTCTGGGTGAAACTCACCCGCGTCATGGAAGTTCTGTTCCGACTGGTACGCTGCTAGTTGATGTACCGCTACCTTCGTCTGGCCCGTCATCAGTCTTGATTGGATTTTGGCTCAGGAATAGGAGGTAAGAATACGTACCCTTGGAGGAATTTGATGGCCTGCGATCTCAGTCGTCGATAGCGTTACCCGTTGCCGTCCTGTCGGCACTGGAGGATACATGCGAAAGGTCTCGGTGATACACGCTTGCAAATATGGAAGTCGTGTCGTCAAGTTCACAAACGTGATTTCCTCCTCTGTTAGCAGCTGGGATCGCACTTCCTCCGTCGCCCGCGCCAGGGCCGTCGGGGTCCGTAGTAGCCAGTAGGTTAGCCCCGTCAGTAATGTTGCCGTCGGCTCACTCCCGCCAGCGATGAGGATATTAGCATTGACTTCGAGCTCGGTCACACTAAGCTCCCCTTTCTCCCCCCGTGGCCGCAGCATGGACGCCATGAAATCGTGGCGATGGGTCTCACAGCGCATTCGTTTCTGTACCATGGCCCGCGTGTGAGCATCCTGCCGTTTCTGAGCTTCCCTCAAACTGGACGGCAGAATGGTCATGATGCCCCGTACCAGCCACGGATACAGGTCTCTGGCCCTCAGCAGCGGAACCATACGCACATAGTCCAGGATCGGAGCTACCCAGTAGTGATACTCTCCCTTGGCAAGCCCACCAAAAGACTCTCCAAATGTCAAGTCCCCAATCAGGTCAAAGGTTGCCAGATTGTACCATTTAGTGATGTTCGTGGCTTGCCCCGATTGAGCTACCTTGCGTAGCTGCTTCATCAACTGGTCGATATAGTGCATCAGAATCGGCTCCTGTGCCTGGATCCCCTTTGGCGAGAATGCCGGCGCCATGGCCTTGCGGATTCGGGCGTGATCCTCCAGGTCGGCGTTTAGGATCCCGGACTTGCTGTACACCGCATATATTGGTTTGGGGAGCTCAATACCGGGGCCGTAGATGGTCGACCAGGCGGACGCGGTGGTGAATGATACCTCATCTGGTCCGTAGCGGACTACCTCCCCGTACTGTTGGTGCAAGCGTCGCAATTCATGATCTAATTGTCCACGAACTGCTGCGATATGTTGAAAGAATGGAAAGGCAATCCAGAGCTTGGGACCAGGTAGGCGTCCCAATGGATGGAAGAAGACGGTGCGGATCGCGGAGATCACAATGTAGAGCACGTAGAGAAGCACAATCGACTGGATAACAAAGGACATGCTGGACTACTTCTGTGAAGGGTACGCAATGAATTTTCTGGTGGGGCGTTATGGGATAGCTAACTACACTTATGTTCGAAATTTTTTAACATGGGAATGTTGACCATTTTGCATCCCGAAGAATGCCATGCAATCCTTCTTGCGGGGGAGTGGTGATAAATCCCTTGCATAGACGATCCGGTCTACTGTATAGCCATTTGGCAGGATGCTGGTCTGGTTGGGAACGGAGAGAGCATGAAATCTACTCTCTTAATCCTCTGTCATAATCATTGTCACATGCAGGCTAACCAACGCAGCAACAGTTTTATGCTCCGATGTAGTTAAACATACTTTACGATACATTGCAGTCTTGACAGAACCTTCGAACTTAACATTTCCAATATTCGACAGATGCATATACCGTGGCCCATACGTAATCGCATAGCCCACTGCCGAGTAGAAGGGCCCATGTTTGATTCAGATGACGATATCCCCTGCTTTTTTACATCTTCAGTCGCTCGTCTACCTCAGCCAGTTCCAAGCTACTGGAATACTCTCTGCAGCGCTTAATGTATTCACCTGTATGGGTAAGATGCATATTATCACCACACCTTGATCGACCAAATCTTGCTTCTGTAGACTTCAGATGCCGTAAATATGCGATGCGCCGAAAAAGTACGTCCAAGAGAAAACGTCATACTCATCCCTATACTCGGTCTATTCAATGGTGACCGCTGGTTTCTCTGGAAAAAGCAAGGTCACACGTCGTAGTATTATTGGACAGGTCGGGTCTTCAGCATACAGCAGCCTTGATGGTGCCACCGCTGGATTCAATGACGGTCGTCATACAGACTCCAGGCCCCCACCTTCTCTCCTATCTTTCCTTCGCCCCAATCGCAGTAGTGCACATTATCAGTAATGTTCTGCAGTCATTTATCCACCCTACGTGTCTCTCGTGCGCTAGAAGAATGCAGCATACTTCCAAAAGGGTCATCTGCACTTGCATCTCTGCGTATCTTTCTTGCTATCACCTATTCCATGTTCAGTCGATGATTTACTGACAGGTAAGGTGGGACAGATATGTTGGCTCTTTCTGCAAGGGGACCTGTGTAGTATCACCTGATCCCTCAAGAAACAAAGTTGCAATTTCAAATTATGATGATTACATTTGTCATGAAACCTAGATATGCATTTCTCCAGTAATTTGTTTCTCTACTGTGGTAAGTTTAGCTGCGAATGGCGCCATATTGCTTGTAACTTATTCATATCCAAGACAAGACTATCTCTGTAACAAGACTGTAGATGCGTAGGTTAAGGTTCTATCTCATAGTCGAGCGACGGATCGTTCTCCCTTGTGCATTACTAACACCGACTAGTTAATCACACTCCACTTTCAGTTACCCTAAACTTCATATTCGACTCGAGAAAAGCACCATAGCTCTGCACCTCATGGTTCACTCGCCAGGGGTTCACTGTCTGAAAATCGAAGTTGCGGAATAACTACAAGACTAGTAAGCAAACGGTGCCTAATTGGTCTCGAGTAGAAGGATACGCACCTCGAATGTTACCTTCGCAAACTCCATAAAGGCAATATGCTTGCCCAGGCATTGATTCTGCCCATGGCCAAATGCCATTTCGAGGTTTCTTCTCCTCTCATTGCAGGTATCTTCATCTAAGTCCATAAAACGTTCAGGTCTGAAGACCTCCGGGTCATTTCCAAACAGTGATTTAGAATGTAGGAGAGATGATGCGTTCATGCAAATATTAGTACCTTCAGGAATAGGCCGTCCATGATATTCAACACCACCCGAGGGCACAACCTTGGGAAAGAGTCCCAGGAGGGGCGGCCGCATGCGAATGCTTTCGCAAATGACGGCCTAATCACCAATTTCAAATCAGCTTGGTCGGGGCCTTGTAAATTGGGGTTGATAGAAGAATCTTACCTGAAGATACGGGAGTTCTTTGACGTCTTTGTTGCTAATAGGGCTGCTAATAGACCTCCTCTTAAGTGTTTCGAGAACCTCGTTCTTAAGCTTTGAGTAGACAACAGGAGAGCTTATGGTGTGGATCAAGATGGATCTTATAGTGGAAGCGGTGCTTTCAGTCCCGGCGATGATTGTGAAGAGTCCCTCGGCTTCACACTCCTCCTGAGTCAGTCCATGGCGGATAAAAGATTCCTACATCGCTGTTATACCGCGAGTCTGCCGTGAAATATTGCTTTACATGGCAACATACCATCATATCCCCTTTGCTATTGTCCAGAGTAGAGAACTTCTCCCGCACATGTTCACGAGCAACTCTGTCAGGTTGTCAGTACATTGTTTAAGTCGACACACAAGTGAGCTGTACATACCCCATCAACGCACCGAAGCCATGAGAGTCCGTGGGGCGTGGACCTAACAGTTTCAGGAACGGCTTTGAGAAAATAATCCTCCGAATCCACGGAACATCTGCCACTGTAGACATTTGCGGCCACAGAGAATGCACTTCTTTGAAGAAGCCATAACGATCTTTCTCCGCCTGGAGAAAGCCGAATTCTTGCCCAAAGGCCAGCTTTGTAATAACATCCATGGTAAAGTAGGAGCTTATATCGACTATGTTTAGAAGCGGCGCATCATCCCCAGGGACAGTGTACTTTTGCCGTAGCAAATCAGTTAATCGGGTTACCTGACGATCGACCCCATGTTCCAAGGCAACCCCCGTCTCGCGACCGGAGTAGCCTGCATGGACACGTGCTCGTGCCTTCTTGTGTCCCTCATTACTTAGAATAGTGAACATGATGTCGTAGTAGGGGTTAAACCGCCCAGTTAGATACCATTCGCCGCGAGTAAATGTGCTTCGAGTTGATGACATGGAGCGGATGATGTCCGGGTCATCGGTCATGATCTCGTTCGGACCAATCCGAACCAGCGGGCCATATTTCCGATGTAGCTCGCGGTGTACCCAATACTGTTTTCCGCTATATGTCAACCTCCCGAGCCAGAGGTAGGAGAAATGGGCTAGCCAGCTGGGCGTTGGAAACTTGCGGAGTCGATACCACGCTAGGGTGGAAGTAAGGGCATACCATCCAAAAATGGCGAATGCTGTCAAGGCGGCAAGATTATAGAAAGCCATGGTGAGGGTGTAGTTTGTCTCAGAATAGTTGAAGTGAAGGGAGATGGTACGAAAGCAGGTATTTCAGTCAACGCGGTGGAGAGCGAAAGAGGTGATTTCCCTATACCTAGCATAGGACATCATCTCTTAACTGATTTTGATATGAATATGCTCCTGCTTACATATCTGAGCCAATATCTGTGCGTCTAGCTTATAACCCGTCGTGCACACCTGCACTCTGCTCATTGGGGTAACCTGTTTACGTCATGCCATTCTGCACAAAATGGTGTGGTGGAGCGGAGGGTATGGAGACGCGAGGGATACATGATTGACACATCGCGATCGACTCACCACAATAGACTGATAGACTGGGTTTTCAGACGGTTAGCTTTCAATTTGGCAGGGTGGCTTATCAGCAGCATTCCAAGAAAATCCTTCGGCATGATGATGAAGACCCGGTCAGAGTTACGCTCTATTATTGTGGGTTTCATGGTGCATACTCTACATGGATTCTTGCGGCCGTCCGATGTTGCAGAACCCTCAGCAGCAGGGTGATCTTCAACATCTTTAGTATGATGGCATAGTCAGCACTACAATCAAGAAGTCATTTACTAGGCACATTCTGCAAAATTATAATTGCAATCAATTACTGAATGAACATGAAACTTCAAGCTAAATCGAAGATCAATGGTATACTAGGCATTCACAACAACTTCACACGAACTTAAAGGCCTAGAGTAGCTAGTTCTCCTGTCATTCTAAAAGCTGCCACGAATATGCATATCTTCGGAGAGGACCCCGATAGGTAACAGAACGCAAGGGATATCTCTCAAGTTGCTCGTATAATATTTTGCTCGTATAATATTCGCCAGGCACATATAGGACAGCATTTCCGTGCCAGCAAGAGTCAGAACAAATGCGGTTAATGTATGTAACTAGAAAGGGTAACCCACGTCATGAGACTGGTTGAAACATAGACCCATACGCGTCGAGACAATGCACCAGTATCTTTATAAATCTGGCGTGTGACTGTAACCTTCAGGTAAATAGATGGTACTAGTTAGAGGCTGAGCAAGTCAGAATATCGATTTGAACATCAAAGGTCCAAAACTAGCATTGTGCAAGGCAAGCCAAGATGACGATTCAAAACGAATGGTACTACCCCGATGATATCGCCCACGACCTTGATGGGATTGACCTACCAAAAACCGCCAAGGACGAGGTTCTGGCGTGCGCTTGGGAGTACTCACGGTCTGTAATCCCACAGTACACGAACTGGGAGCGCTATATTGCATTTATGCGCATCATTATCATCGGGGTCATTGCCGAGTTTCAGGGTAGCATGGTCGACGTCACTGCTGGACCCAAAATCCTCAATTATGATCTCGATGAAGTTCTGGATGAGCTTTTTCACGGCACCCCTGGGCATATTGATATGGCCCGCGAATATAAATCCTTTCTTTTTATTACATCTCAGAAAGTCAGTCACGCCAACAGCGAATTGTTCCGCCGGTATGTCAATGCTCTTGTCAATTCACCACAGCAGTGGTTTCGGATGCGAGACTGCGATGCCCTGGCTCGATTTACTATAGCCTCTGCCCTGGCGTGCAACGATCTTCTTGACATCTGGTTTACTGATGCGCAATATGATATTCTCTGCGAGATCGGTGATACTATGTATGACGCCGTGGCTTTTTATAAACATCGCTCTGAAGGAGAAACCAACAGTACCTTTGCCTACATGCCAGAAGACCATCGTATTGAGGCCTTTCACCGGGCACGACAAGTTCTCTGGGCGATAGATCTGGCAATGGCTGGTACACCTGGGCATCTTGCTGTTACCAACTTCCTGCGCAGTTTTGGTGGCCCTATTCATATGATGATGCGGCGGTACCGCTTCGTGGAGGAGGACCTTACAGTGGGCAAGACTGAGACCAAAGAGGTTATCAACCAGACGCGTCTCAACAAGAAGCTTTGGAATCGTATCGACAAGAGAAAGACCAGTATAGCCGAAGATATTGAGCAGTACAATAGGTCTATGGCGAGGAGCGATGAGTTTATGTTTCGTGGTTTGGCGGACTATCTTGATGGGGCCGACAACCAACATTGCCCTGAGTGTCTATATCGCGAGGTCTACGGTGCCCAAAGGGACCATTGCTTTGGAGGTGTGCAGCTCTGTGATCAGTGTCGTCTTGAATGGGGGCATTTCCTCTAGACTCTGCCTGAACGTGCTAAGCGAGCTTTCCCAGATCTCAATCTGAGGATTTGAAGTCCTTCTAATGCTACGAACATTCAAGACCATTATGGGAAGCTCCCAGTAACACATGTTAGCCAAGGTGCAACCATATAGTAGAGTATAAAGCCCTCTGCATGGTGCAAAGCCATATATTCTACCAAGGGAGATGGCTGTCTTCTGCGGTGAATTGATGTGGAGTGTCCCTCCGAAAGCCGCGATAGTATATTGGCATTATCATGCATGCAAGGGGCCCAGGGCCCAGGGCCAAGTCAAGAAGCACGCACAAGTGACCCCATTCAAGGAGTGGAGGAGGTGAAAATGAGACGAACCCTGTTGTATTTTCCTAACTTCCTTATGATACTTTCTTTCCGACGCTTCTTGCCCCTATCGGAACCTATCATGCCTAGACGATACCCTTGCGTCCTACATGTAAACATCAAGCTTCCTCAACCCCACCCAAACTCAAAGATAGTACTTCTGCACCTCGTATTCCGTGACTACCTGGAACTTCATGCATCCATGATTTGCGGTATAATGTACGGACTAGCACGTCATGCCGATCATAGGAATGTCACTTGGACATACAAGCAGCAAAGCAACCATGATGATAATAGCCTTTTTCGTCCTGCTGCATCATCAAATCAGACGGATGTTCTCACTCGCAAGGTCCTCAACCCGCAACCCATCGACATAGGCAGTGTATCGGGATAAGGATAGCACTACAAAAGCATACTCATGTGTCTCCTCCCTCAATTCTTACCTGACTACCCTTGACCTTGACTCGTACTCCGACCCTAACGAGAGTTTCCATTTGCCAAAAATGCCCATTACATACGCAGTACCTTCTTCCCCAACCATTGATCCACTTTTATAACGTTACTGATTGATACCATAGGTCCTATACCCCCGCGAAGCAGAAGTCAATCTGGACTACTTCATCAATGTCCACATACCCTTAGCAGAAAGGCTCTGTGGCAAGGATGTGATCCTCTCATGGGAGGTGTTCACATTCCCTCCTGATGCACCGTACTGCCTCCAAGCCAATGTGACCTGGGCCAGTTCCGAGGCAAAAGCCGCCGCTATGTCGGGCGAAAATGGGAAAGTGTTGATAGATGATGTTGAGAAGTACGCCAAAGCACGGCCATTCTCCATGGCGCGAGAAGAAGTGGCTCGGAGTATGTCTGTATAAAGAGGGAAAAGTCGTGGAGACACCTCTGGGTATAGCTACTACTTACAGAGAATATTAGAGTTCAATTGGGCATGCTCTGGTTTAGACCCAAGAACAGTATTGCCATATTTGACCGCTTGTCTGACCGCTAAATGCGGCAGAACCGCAGCGACCTCGCGAAGAAAAGTGCGGATATAGGCGGATATAGACGGATATATTTTTCAACAGGTCCGAAATGACTAGTCAGCATTCTGTATATTTTTTGACCGCCTTGAGGAAGGGGTGGCAGAATCTGGTGTCTCGTGTAGGAGTGCATTTAGGCCATTGGGGCCACTGCTATTGCACTTGAACTGGTATCGATTCAAAAATGTTTCTCTGCTTGCTTATTTGATAAGTATCAGCACTTTAAGATGTATGATGTTGCCAGGGAAGCATGACGAGCGTTACTGCTTTACCATCCTACTCTGTGAATCATGGTGGCAGTTACCTACTTATCTACGGTTCCCCTGTGCCAGTACTTAGGTTAGACAAATTTCAAGCCTCTTGCAATTGTCCTAATCATACTTTCAGTCAGATAACAGTATTCGAAAAAGTCAGGCATGCATCCGCAATAGCATTCATTTATTTTGATAACTCGGGGTATACAAGGAGCGACGGATAACCATGGTAAAAGTAACAAGCAACCGACAACTTCATTATTATATAGCAACTGCAGTGCTACCGCAAGTATCGTTTGATCCTTCCACATTAAGACCATTAATGACTAGAGTATTTTCCATAACCAGTTCAATTCTTCCACTGGTCGATCCTAAACCCAAGCCGCAGCAACCATAGCAGCGGCCGCAACAGGCGCCGCCGTAATCATGGCCGCAACAGGAGCCCCGACACCAGCAGCAGCATCAGGGGTCTTCGTAGCGGCGGGCTCGGTGAACGACTTGACACCCCCCGTGACAACAAGGGAATAGAATCTGCTAGTCGGGTTCTCATAGGTAGACTTGGTCGACGTCGACGAAGCGTACGTCGCGCCATCGTCACTTCCACTGAAACCCGCGCTCATGGTGCAGCTCGCCGATTCAGTCCACGACTTCAATGAGCATTCGTATGACAGAGTCACGGTGACATCGAAGCTGGTGGTCTTGTCCGACGTCGAAGCAGTGTATACTTGGCTGACACTGACGGTTTCCGGGCCTTGAATGATAGTGTATGCGTCCTTCATGTCGCAGTCTGTCTTGGGGGCGTCTTTGAGACAGCTCATTTTGTAGGTGGTTTTCACGGCATTGATGCCTGCGACGCTGGCGCCGGTGCTGGTCCAGCCGCCGTATTCAGGGAGGTCCACCGACCAATAGGGCATGAAGTAGCCGACTACTGTGGTGCTGTCGTCGTCGGCGTGAGCACCGCCAAGGAGGGTAAGGGCTGCGGCGAGGAGGTACGAGGTGCGCATGGTGGCTGCTGAGATGAATCTTGATCTGTCTCCGGGGTTCTGAGATTTGGATGAGGTTTGCTGTTTGATAATACTCCGTAGAGAGGAGTGAATGATGAATAGGGTGTAGTATCAGGGGAAAAGGCTTGAGAGGGGCTCTTTTATCCCCCTTTCTATAGCCTTGGCTGCAGAGCCAAGCTCATCTCATTTTCAGGTCATGCTGACGGCCCCAACATTGGTAGCTTTGGGAAATGAGACAAGCGAGTAGACAGTCGAATGGGCATCAAAAAGATTCTGTAGAGCCGCTTTGTTCGGACCTCTCTCCGGATAGGGTCCGCTATTACGAGAACCCCGGGGCCGCTATGACTGTCATGGGATGTGCTGATTGGGTATGTCTCACTTCGTAGCATTCGGATGTCATTTAGCGCTGGAAATGAGAGTGCTTAGCGCCAGGCTAAGGACCCTTAGGCCCATTTACCTCTTCGCTTCGACACAAAGGTCTGTTCTGGCTGGTGGCAATCACTGTATTTATTTGCCTTTCGATCCATGGGGGGTCCCTATTATATAGTTGGATAATTGTTGCAACGTCGAAGTTGTGGAAGGTCTATACTCACGGGTCAGGTAAAAGGGCTTTAAGTGCGGCTAGCCGGATCAGTCACGGAGGTCAGAATCAATGCAACGACGGTTGGACCTCGGCGCGAATTGTCTGTCAGAACTAGTTGCTGCATGGGAAATTGCATGTTTCCTAAATGGGTGCAGCAACTTTTCATGATAGTTGGTTCGAGTTTAGCGCTATTGATTCTGGTTCGTCTAATGTCCCTCTGGCCTGCTCTGCCACCACCAGATGACTGCCTGCTTCGCCAGCGATTAGCCGAGCAATGTCCGAGTCACTGGTAGTTGTAGTCTCTCTTTTTCAGCCTTGCTCTAGTGTTTCCAGCAAAGCATTGATCCCTTTAAAAATGGCGCATAGATGGTGAGGAGGCAGTAAGATAGCTTGATACTACTATGCCGTAGCGGACGACCCGTGGGGCGAGGATTACCGTTCACGAACAGGAGCAACAGTGCTAAGATATATTCTCCGTGGACGATCCAAGCCCTTTAATGGACAGACGTGATAACGGCCCGGTCGGATGTCTCGGCTAGAGCAGGGCGCTGTGCATCAAGGGCCAAGCTGCCTTCGGCGCCAGTCACTCCACAGCTGCGCCCCACGTTAATGGGATGAGATACCACCGTATATTCCTCTCGGTGTTGAGACTTGGGAGACTTGAAGGTGGATGCTAGCCCGAGGTAGCATTCATTCTCTGTAGTAATTGGTAACTATCTTAAATTGTCGTCCATTTGAGTAGTCTGGCTGTCTCTTTGACGAATCGATTCATGATAAAATCATCTCACTAACATTAGTACTAGAGTAGTCTCTATTAGTAGATATGTATCTGTCAGTGAAGTCACGGATCAAAGTAACTTTTTTGTATATGGTTTGGCACCGACAACACTTACTCTTGAAGGCGATCCACAATTGACGGTGGTCTTGAAAATAACCTTCTATATATATGTTACCATTCTTTCAGCGAAGTGCCAATGATAAGCTTTTTGGTCATCAGGATCGACAACAAATCCGCAACCACTGCGATCTTGGCAGGTGTTCCTCTGCCTTGGCCTTTCACTGTGTGGGCCAATGCATCAATTGAACCATAATGTTCCTTGTTAGAGACCACCAGGTGTTAAAAAGATTCGATGCAAAGAAGTATGAAAATTGAAAAAGGTAAAATGGAATAAGAGCATATTGTAAAATATTATTGTGACATTGGTTTATGAAGACCAGGATGCGGACCTTCTATCACTTCAGTCTCCAGGCTAAAAACATGGTATAGTCATGATGCGAGCAATATTAACAGTACATGGACGTTAAGGATCGTAGTATAGAAGATGGTCTATCCGGGTGATTATCTCATCTAGCAGCAGCATTCGCAGCATTCGAAGCAGCAAAGACCGGCGCACCTATTATCGTATGGTTAGTGTCGATCAATAGCACGTTAAAGCATAGAGAGATAAACATACACGCCACAGCAAACATCCTCGCCCTCACCACCACCACGCAGGCCCATCTGCATCGTCTCTTGCTGGCCCTAGAGGTATGTTAGATTTGTTTTTGTGCTGCAAGGGGGGTGGAAGATGGGTGGGACGCACGGGTTGACCGGTGACGACCTGCTCGGTTACGGGAGCTTCCGGGGCGGAAGGCTGCTGCATGGTCATGGTGTTGGGGTTCCAGGTGGGCTGCTGGGTAGCAGACTCCTTGTTGGAAGACTTGAACCAGTCGAACATATTGGCGGTGGGTGTTGTTGGGGTTTGTTTGCTTTTTTGCTATTTCGACAATGGGAGAGTTGGGAGATGGGAGAAGCTGACTTAAGCCGGAGTCACACGGGTAGATAAGGGGTTATCCGAGGGAAGGCGAAAGGGTATCTGAAATGATAAAGAATGAAAAGAAGAAGAATAGGTACCGGGCGGGGGCAGTTGGTAGTATTTATCCGTTGGCCATTTTGCAATCTGGGGAGTCGGGGGGCCCAGCGGTCAGCCCTATTAGCATCCAAGGAGAAGATAGGCGAGGTGATGACCTCACCGTTAGGCGCCGATAGATCGTGTCGACAGCTGGTGGGTTAGAAAGGATTGGGCGGGCGAAGCTGAGGAGAGACAGACAGTCAGTCGACCATTTCCAGTTGGTGGTTGCTATTCTTGCATCGGTTGCAGGTGGAGGTGACATCACTGGCTCAGCCCTGCCGAGAAGGAATAAGTGGTACAAAGTAGTAACTGGAGTGGATCAGACACGGTGGATGATCGGTGGCTCAGGGACCAGCCATTCAAATGGTTCAATACATGGGTTGATTAATGAGTAATAATAACTATTGTGATGAGGTGGAACACCTCATAGCCACACTCCCAATCAGAGAGCATCCACTGGCGGTCAACTAAGCTTTTGGACAAGCTTCGCGACAAGGCTTGTCCAATGACAAGACCCAGACCAAGCCAGTGGTGGTCCTCCGTAATCTCTCTCGACTCGAAAAAGTAAAAGCACAAAGTAGTGTACTCATTAGTATGATTATAGAATTGTGAAGGATTTCTGTAGTAGCCGGTTATTTCCGCCCGTGGATCATCTTGGGAATTTACCCTACTTGGTTTTGCCCCCCTTCCCCGGCGTATCGCCAGCCCTGCAGCGACATACGTATTTTCCACGCCAATTAGGATCTTTAAGGGATGATCATCGCAGAAATGAATCAGTTGTATTGGCTATTTATTTTCAGCAGAGGAAGAAAGCAAGATGTGGAGGACCGGTTTTGAGGGGGAGCCATGACGCACGGAAGGGAAGGGAAGGGAAGGGTTTCATTGGGGCCAGTGAGTGGATGATGCAGTCTCTGCTAGTCCAGGCAACAGCCCTTCCCCCTGCTTCCTTTGAGTAACAACAACTGTCCATTCAAGTATCTATTACTAACCACCATATGAGACAGCTCGGAAATCGGAAGGCTCTTCTTCCACTACTACCACTATACTACTTAGTCCTCGTTCTCTTTGAAGTGACGGTCGCCAAGGGAAAATTCCAATAGTTTGCTGCAGGCCTCAGGTTTTTCGGACTAACTTGTAACCCAAACCCCGCTTTCAATTCATCTACTGGAGACATCTCGGTATCACATCCTAATATAAGACGATAGACTATCACATGGAGCAAATAATGTGCATTACTCAGCTTGTCTCATGTTATTTACATCATCCATTAAAAAATCTCGCCGTGCATCTGCGACCGACTCAGCCCCCACGCAGGATTACCATCATCCCTACTTAATACTAAGTAGGGTAACGGGACTACGCCTCACTCAGCTCGTCTTGCTGCAGCAGTCGTTGCTTCTCCGATAAGAACACGCCTTGCTTCCTTTGGCAACGCTTCCGACATCTCCGACCCTGCTGCATACTGACACACGTGCATGCCACAATCTTCCAGAGAAGCAACCCCATCGTGCACACTACCAATCCAGCAACGGCCCCCAAAAGTCCCGGAATGATGGCAGGCACCACGAGTCGCCAGAAGTCCCGGCGGTAATCCTTGTTACGCAAAGCCATCGGTCGCAGAGATTTGTCCACTCCATACACCCGGAACGGGGAGTCGGGCGCAGCTTTGTCGGAGTCTGTCGTGGGGAGTTCTGGACTGTTCTCCTTATCCTCCTGGTGTGCGGTGGGCCGTTCCTTGAGAAATGGTCTGCGCTCCTCGGCTCCCTCGTGGGTTGCTGGTCGCCCCTTGGGATGGTGGTGGTGATCATTGTGCTCGTGGTTGTCACTCTCCTGCGACTTGGGTCCTTTGTGGGCGCCGTGTCCTTTCTTCTCGCGCCAGGTACGGTACTTTTCCATAATCAAGTTCCAGTACTTGGCGTGCCAGACACAATTTCCATCGCCGTGCGCGTCATGGTAGTGGGGAAGTGGCTCGACGGAGATCTGAGTAATGTACAATTCGCCCGACTGCTGCGACGACAATCGAACACTGACAGTGTCTGTCGTGGCAGGACGGCCGGAAAGGTCGAAGAACTTGAGTTGCACACGGTAGATGTCTTGCACCAGGGACCCATCCGGACGAGGGGGCATATATTCAATGTCCATGGCGTACTGCAGGAGCAGATGCTCCGCATTCTGACGGGACGCGTCCTGGTATCGGGTTGCCGGCAAATGCATGGGGAATGAACTAGGAAAGACGGTAACATCGTTGACAAATAGAGCATTGCTCTCCGTGCGGAGTTTCATCGCCTACATGGCAAGGTTAGTGATGCTTGGACCCTTTCCGACCGTCGTTAGTACGGGCGCACGTACCAGATATGCTTTAGAGGCATCCTTGGCCTCATCCTCCTTGGACCCTGGGATCGTAGCACAGGGAATATGAATCTCATGGCCAGTCACGACGGGGAACTGGGCGTGCGAGTCCTTAATAGCCATCTGGGGCACGGAAGCATCACCAGGATGACTGGCAACTGGACTGGCAGCACAGCTGGCCAGCCAGGCGCCCGCGAGGCACAGGAAATGGGTACGCATGATGACTGATGCGCAGCAAGAAATAAAGAAAATATAGATGAATCTGTAAAGAGTGACGGTTTGCCAAGATAGCAGTCGGTCAAATGGAAAGATTCATGAGGGGAACGGAACAGAACAGGAGAGGCTAAATGACTAGGGGGGAGATGGCGGGGGAGTCTGCAGGTATGGCGTGTAGATAAGTATGACTATCACGAGCACTGCAGTCGTACTAGTAGTAGGAAGAAGACAGGATGAGATGGATCAGGGACCTAATAGGCAGCCAGGTTTCAGTCGATCCCGTTGTTTAAAGAGAGAGGAATCCGCGGAGTCCGATGCAGCAATACACGCGCCCTATAAGGCTGACCACGCAATCCCGCCCGTCATCTTCCCTCCACCACCACCAGGCAGACTCAGACTCGAGGATGGACTTCTTTACTATTTGTTCCCATGGTATCTGTGACTCTTCTTTTCCCCTTTGCGGAACCTTATTTCATGGATGCCTACGCTGAACCATTGCTTGACCCGAGCTTGGCTCGGAAGCTTCCGAGGTATTTCCAGCAATGAGTGTCCACTCGTCAATGGCTGGCCCCCTTTTTTGTTCGGCTTCTAGCCCGTGTCTTAACTTGTCTACGCCACACAAGCTTTTTCCTGCCAGACCCTCTCTGTTGGCTTTAGCGCCAAGAACACTCTGCTAGATCGAGGTCAACGTAACGAGCAGTTTCTCCCCACTTGATTGGTGGGCGACGGGACTCACTGCCTTTCACACCGTGTTGCTTCTTTGGGTTGGCCAACGTCAGCTTCCTCCGAAGGTAAACGCTGCGGGGCAGATCCTATTCTTTAGACTAATACGAGCAGGCAGACAGGATGATCGGCATCGTCTACGGTTATTTTGTGCTTAACTTGTGTGGGTGTGCGTGTGGGTATGCGTGTGCGTGTTGATGATCTCCAGAATGCAATGCAACTCTTGAAACTCTTCATCTCGACTATAGATACATATTCTCATTCTATAGCTGGTGTTTCATCCTCACACGTGTTTTACCCTCATCTTTGAAGAGCAGACAACATACATGAAAGGATCATCCCAGGTTCAGATCCTGCGACGATCACTGCCCGAAAGGCATGTCAGACCACACGATCAGGGTCCTCGGCGAACTTTGACACGATCTTGGCGCGATCAGCACCCTGTCATTCTTAAAGAGCTCATTCATAAAGACTTCTCTGCAGCCCAAATTTCTACATGGTGCCTTGCTGCAAGGGAGTTTGGTTCTGACATGACAGGTCTTCTTCCGCGCTTGATATTCACGTCGTACCAACAACTCTTCAATAGTCATTCTTTGTTTCCTCTATTTGTCATGTAGTACCTATGGCGTTCCTGCATATTCCTAATACTGCCTAGCCTTCAATCAGCTGGGTCGCGAATTGTAAATTCGGTCTCATCCTTGGCTAGAAGGTTCCTCTGACACATTGACAGGCTTATGTCTGTCAAGATTGGGAGGTTGCAAACTCTAATTAAGACAGCGGCAACTCCGTGTCTCAGATGCATCACAGGGTCCGTCCCGCGGTGGCAGTGCCAGCCACCAGGATTGTGTCTGCCTAGTGCCTACAGTAGAGATTCGTGGGGGTTATGTTTGAACCTAGTCGCGAGGTTTCACCCGTCTGGTCGGTACTAACTAAAGTGATAAAGTGATACGGATTTTGTACTACGCTACCATCTTGGGCCCGTGTTATATACCATGTATGAATATCCATCAACGCTATGCCCGGTCAAATTTTCGGTGCTGAAGGTACCTACATTATCTATGTCTATATAATCATCCTACCATACCAACCCAATCATCGAGTTTTGAACCCGCCTGTGAGATTCACTGACCGACAGGCATGTTGTAGCCTTCCGCTATAGCAAAGTATGTCTGTGACTCATCTTCAGCCACCAAAGAATGCTCCTTTACTCTCCCGGAGGCAATCGGACGATATTACAGGGGGCTATTTCTGTTGGGTACCACCAGCTACCCACGCCTGCATTATAATACAAGTGTGGCCGCCATATCAAGGCGCTATCCATTGCAAGTTGTAACCTCAGCTGCCAATCCGCAGAATAATGAGGGAGATCAATGCTGTTGCTGCTGAAGCCCCATTCCGCAATTCGAACCTGATCCCAGAATACATAACCCTGTTCACGGAGATCACTCGTAAAATGACTGCCAACTTGCGTAGATACGCCTCCATTTGGGATTGTTGCCGCCATCATCGTACGCCATGCATTAGCTGGGCCCGGATCGGATCCGACATACCCTGTATCTTGCCAATCGATAATTTGCCCCTCGACTTCACATGTAAGTGATGGATAAGCGTGGAAAACCTCCTGAGACTCCCAGATAGCCCTGAATATGTCGGGCAGCGAAGACATGAAAGGCTTGCCAAACAATTCTCTGGAGAGCATGATATGCTGGTCTGGTGCTTCAGCTGTGACGAGATGCCCAATATACCGCAGGCCGTGGCATAGCTGGCTGTGGTCAGATCAATACACACTGAAATTGGCTCTACGGGCCTGTGTAGGACTCACAAGAGTTCCTACAGGAGATGGATCTGTCATTAGGCAGGCACTGTTGGAATAATACCAGATACCCTCTGTGCACCACCTCCAATCGGCCCGTGTGAATGGCTGCAAGCCTATTTAGCAATCAGGATTCAAAGCTTATGCGGCCCGGTCTAGGAAATGGAAGAATGAGACACCCACAGTCGGCCACCCTCCGAAAGAGATACTCACTGACTGACACTATCTGCTCAAGTTCCCACGCGGGAAAGTGACGGAAGTAGTAACCCCATTGGTCACTTATCAGGAAGTCCGGTGAACACTTGGAATAATTCGCATACGGCTCACGCATCCTAAAAAGATGGCGATGGATCTCGAAACGGTAGAGCGCCCTTGCTACTCGACACTTTTCTGAGGATGTTGGTTGATATAGAGGCATAGGTGGGTGGGTTCTCCCTTGCATTGGGTCGGCTATTGCCTTCCTGAGAAAGTGTCTGGTGAAATATCGAACCCAGCGATATAATCTAATGATTTTAAAAGCAGACTGGGGGTTTAGACGAAATGATGACGAGATTTGGCGGGTCCGATTCCGGTAGATGATGGAGTGCACTTCATCTTGCGTCCACACGCCCTCCACAGTGGATGCGTCGAAGGCGAAAAACGCATCTGGTAAAAGCGCCGTAGGAATCTTTTGCGCTAATATCTGCTTTAAAATGTGACTTTCAGCGCCAATGAAGGCGAAGTATAGCGCAGAATGCGTCAATTGGGCAGATTTAAGGGACTCGAGATCTGGAAGGTTGCAGAGAATGGCTTGGATGAGCTCCACGGGCAGGGCACATAACGAAGGCTGGCTTGTACTATAAACTGGGAGGTCCATCGCGCAAAAGAATATTTCTGTCGTAAGGATATGTTGGGTGATAGTGTTGATAGAGGTTTGATGCTACAACCAGGATCGGCCAGAAAGAAAACCACTACATATCATGGTCATTCATGATTTTGGGAAGGAATCACCGGGGCTTCTTCAACCCGCGTTGGGAAATCGCCACTGGCAGTATAAATGCAGATAAAATAGAACTATATCAACGCCGAAGGCATTCGCTCCCAGCATTGGAGATTATAAATGGATCTTTTCGGGGTACTTTCTCCTTTGCTGCACCTTTCGAGCGCCCCACACCAAAGACCATGAGAGACCACGAAGGAATCACTGTCTCTAAATAAAGGGAACCCGAGCTTACCTGAACACCCATATTAATATAACTAGCAGAGATATAATTTTTCCTGCGCGACACATTGGCCGCTACAGTATATGTCAAAGCAACAACAATCTACTAGCTCTCAATTCACTAAACACCATGACTACTCATCTACGACCACCTCCAACACATGCAAGTCAAGCTGGCATTTTCCATTAGAGTAGTAGTATACTTTGACCGAGAGAGAATCTAACTGCAGTAACTCAAACACAAATAGTACAATACCCACAATTACTTGACTGGGTACTTGGTCTTTTATCAATTTAGCCGTCAGGCATGACTATGGCAAACATTCCCAACACCTACAAAGCACTCTCCATCAAGTGAAGTAGAAAGAAGTGAATTAATCCCACGGCCACCACTTAACCTCAAGATTCTTTCACCTAAATAACACTGGCTGCCTACCTTAAAAGCCCCTTCATCCCTCCCTCTCTTTCTTCCTTCCTCCCTCTTCCATCCACTCACACCTATCTTCCAATCTCCCCATATTCTAAATCATCATCTACCTCAAACACTTCAATCATCTCCATCAACAATGGATGACACCAAAACCAAGATCAAGCACGAAAGTTTCAAGGACTCCATCTCCAAAGCCCTGAACAACCGTGCCGCGTCAACCAGGTTCCCCTTCGCCATGACTCCCTCCACCTCCTCCGCCGCGCCCTCCATTGTTTGGCCATCTTCCAGCTCCACTCCCCAGAAGAAACGTCCTATACTTTCCCCAACTCTCGCAACCCGGGACGCGAAGCGCACCACTACCACTACCTCGACCACCACCACCAAGCCTACCATCCCCGCCCACCTCCTCGCCAACCTGAAGGTCCTAGTGGAACAACTCGAATCCGCAACCACTCCCGCCACCGCCGCTGCCGAAGCGGAATCGACCATCGGTACCGAAGACGACCTCCGTGAGTGGAGGCCTTTCGAGCAGAAGTCCGACGGTTGGGGTGGTACTCGCGAGAATCTACCCTGGGTAGAAACCGCTCTCGACATCATCAAGCAGGGCGAGAAGGTCTATGAGAAAAACCTCAAGGCCTTTCAGGATATCTCTGATAAGGTGATGGCTCTGGGGGATCAAGCACGGGATATTCGGACCGAGATGGACGCGGTGTGTGCGAAGCTTCATTGTTTTCATGAGGCTTGTCTTGATTTGCAGATTGAGGTGGGCAATATCTCGTCTCAGGAGGTGTGCGATATTACTAGGCTGTCGTTGGAGGCGCTTCTTGAGGCCCATGCGGGTGATGTGGAGGGGTTTGCCACGGTGAAGAAGGCATTGGGGGAGAAGGATGATGAATGGAATGGTTGGTAGTTGTGGTTCCCTGTGAGAAGGTTTATTGGAACAAAGTTCTGCAGCTTTGGGTGGGGTTGGTTAGTATGCTTGAAGTTGGAGCTGGAGCTGGCTCTGGCTTTGGCTGGGTAGGCTGATGGGTCTGGGCTTGGATGGTTGGTTGTTTCGCTGGCAGCTGGTGATTCTGTGCTTACATTGGCGCTATTGGTTTCTTTCTTCGAATGGAAATAGTATCCGTTGAGTTTCAATAGTCTGCGCTCACGGTGAACTGGTAGTATGCAATTGGTCATGTCATTCTTTTATCAATCATCTCAGCTATTCTAAATTCCAACAATTTCACCAATAGATCAAAACCGCTCTATTATTATCATTGCATAGAAGGGGAAACAAAATAGAACAACACTCAAACAGGTCCATAAATGTACAATCCCATGGAACCACGCGCTGGATAACACGACATAATCATGCAGGATAGGTAGGTAGGTGGATAGGTATATAGCGAAATAGGTCTCGGCGCGCTCTCTTTTCCCAACGCGATCGCAATTAGCGCCGGGACACACAGCACAGAATACCCGACCGGCCCAAGAACCACAGCGAGCCGATGAAACGGAACAACGACAGACCGGCCGTGATCCACAGAATGACCTCGAAGTACCAGGATGTACGGGTGGTGGAAGTGTTCTGGAATTTCGTTAGATGATGTTACAAGTTATAGCTTTACCAGAGAACAGGGAGGGAACGTACCGTCAGACACATCTTGTCTACTCCAGTGGCGGTGATCAACAGCGTCACGAGCAGGTTACTAAACACCCACAAACACACGAGCACAGTACGGAAGTTGCGGTACGCATCGTCCAGACTCTTGCCGCCCTCTTCCTCTGGCTCGATCCACGGCGACAACGCCCGCTTCACCGTTGCCTCGAACTGACTGTCGATATCAGCTTGCGGCTTGTCGATTTCCTCGATGAAGTTCTGTTTGTTGTCGTCGTCCTTCTTGGTTTGCGCGGAAGGCAGGGCCTCGGCTTTGTCCGAACCCTTAGTACCCCATGAAACGTCGTGCCAGTTACAGAAGGCGTAGACCATCAGGATGTTGATCGAGGTCGTCATACCCAGGAAGTAGGCCCAGGAACTGGTGATGATGTGCCAGGGATCCATATACAGGACACTCGCAATGATGTAGATTCCGTAGGTGGAGACCAAAGCGATCAGGACGATACCACCACCGCTGGAGCTGAAGAATGAGGAAAGGAATGTGCCAACGCCTTCGTCGAAGTTGAAGTCCATCATACCACCGTTAAAGGCACCCACGACCAGGTAGAACGACAGGATGAGGACGTACAACTGGACGAGGGAGAAGTAAAGGTAGGACAAGATGTAAGGAATTTTGACACCCTTCGGCCGATTACCCAAAGCCATGATGAACTGCAGCGTAAGAACCCAGACATAACCGTATTTGACGAAGTTGTTGACAATGGGCGACGCATCGTTGCCCCATGGCCAACCCTTGTTCTTGTTACTCGTAGACGGCGTACCCACCAGATCCATGATGACGGAACTAGTGAGCCAGTAAGAAGCAAGGGAGAACCAGGTCATGATCAGTTGACACACGTTGTAGATCATCTGAATGTGCAGGAAGAACATGCGAATGATACTGTGACCACTGCGGTAGATACGACCGAAATGCATGATGGAATACAGACCAGCGGCAAAAGAACCGTTCAGCCAACGACGTCTTTGACTGATGAATTCGGCCACGCCTTCCGGAACATCGGTCTCACCCTTGGACGCCTTGACGTAACTGAGATGCCACTTGAAGCCAGCCTTGGCCACCAATTCGAAGCAGAGAATACGATCCTCGGCCAAGAACATGTTCTTCTTGAAGATATTCATGCCGTCAATACCCTTCTTTCCAAGACGCTTTGACAACGTATGGTCTCCGTGGAAGTATTGTTCCAGCGGACGGCCCATGATAGCGCGATACCGATAGGCAGAGAATGCACCAGGCAAGACACTGACGTAACCGAATGCACTTTCCAGAGGTTTATCGAGAATATTAGAGATCTTGTACTCGAAGTTCTGCGCAGCGACTAGCGGATTGACGACCTTACGCCAGCCCTGTCCCAGCATTGCATGGATCTCACCACAGGCTCCACCGAGTGTCTTGTCATTGTAGAAGGCCTCCCAGAGAGCAAGCAGAGACTTATGACCGGGTTTGGTACCGGCATCCAGCAGAATGACGACTTCCGGGTTCAAGATACGACTGAAGGCGTTGAACAGCCAACGGTGGGAGTTGATCTTCTTGCTATTCTTCTGCTTGAGACAGAAGATCATCTGCACCGGGGGGAAGTTGGTCGACTCATTGCCCTGGGGCCGAATCAACTGCTGCGTCGGAGTGACGGACAATTGGGTAGTATATTCAAACTGCGACGGTCAGTACACAATCGGACTCCTTGCGGTGCCGATCCCCGATGGTCCAAAGGCGGTCTGCACAACGGCAGCAGCGGAGGAAAGTGGAAAGAAGCAAAACTTACAACGTGGGCGACGGTTTCCCGCCCGTCAACGTCCTTCTTCATGACTCCATCCTGGTAGATACCAATCGTCGCCAACACATCCAGTGTGTTTTTGTCGCATGGCTCAATACCATCGAAAACCAAACAGACCACGATCTTCTGCCAAGCAGGGCCACCCTTGTTCCAGAACTCGGATTTCTTCAAGTTGACAATGTCACGGATGTTCTGCATGACACCGTGAAGGGTACGCGCGGTCAAGACTTTGTCTTCGTTGTAGTAGGTGATGGCGATCAGCAACTCGGTATGCCGGTTATAGATAGCCGGCCGGAGATTGTAACCGTTGCGCAGCGTGAACTCGTCGGGATCACAGGTAGCGGCCGTGTCTGCGATGCTTTGGTCAGCCGGACAATTGGCCATCTCCGCAAAGTCGCATGGCACCTACATCTCATGTGTGTGAATTCTTCGGAGAAGGCCTCCTCCGCATCCCGGTATTGGGGCTGGATGGCGTTCTGAATGGCACTCGGCACCGGGTAGTCGATACTCAGGACGGAACCTTGCACCAGGTTGATCTTTCTCGTTCCGTAACGGCGCAGGGCACCCGCGCGACTCCCTTCACGGGAAGCCTTGTCGCCATTGCTCCGGGCACGGAAGGTGTTTTCGGAAGCGGCTTCGGATTCTTGGTAAGGGGGCGCGGCGAAGACCGCAGGACCGTCGTCGTGCAGAGTGTAGCGACGGATGGAGTCTGTTGACACGGCAGGATCATCGAAGGGCGTGCCGTAGTGACTAGAATTGTTGCGCTCCAGCAGCGACTGTTCCTGCTCGTCGTGCTCATGTTGCTCGGAGTGGTAAGTCTGGAGCTATCACGATTAGGCATTGAACGAGCGGCCAGCTTGACGGGACACACTCACACCATGGGGGGGAGACGTGTGGGAGAAGTAGCTGCTTTCGCTTTCCCGCGGCGAATGGGCCGAGTATGGATTTGTCGGCGTACCCATCTTGAAGGTTGAAGATGGGATTGCCGGAAGTTGCGACGGGTGGTCTTCTTGAGGCAAACAGGGAAAGGGTAAAAGTATAACGAGGGTTCTAGGGAGGTTCTGGGGCTGGGCAAAGAAGGATCCCAAAAATAACACTGCAAAATTAAAAAGGGCACAAAAATAAACAGGAGCCCCCCAAAGGAGGGAAGAAAAAGAGGGCCTAGGGGGAAAAAAATGGGCTGGGGACAACAACGGTACCACGCAACCGTCAATTGGGCTAGGGCGTAGATAAACCAACTGCTAGAGGAGTGGAGCACCCATGGACCATTGGATACGTGCCCAAGAACTATATATAGGGGGGGGAACGAAGCAGCTACGGGACAGGGCAAATAAGAGGACGAGATGGCGGGGGATGAAAGTCTAAGCCTTGGAGAGTAGTGGCGATAATTCGACGGAGGATGCGTGTTTACAGTGTGCGATATATCTGGCGGTCCGGGGGGGCGATACCAGAATAGTAGCCAGATGATGCTTGTCCGTCGCAGTGGGAGCAGGATAATTTTCCTTTTTGGCCCGCCAGGAACAATGCAGACCAGCATTATAGCCACGCCGGGCAGTGCACAGGAACTGGAAATGGCCAGCGACGGTCCTGACTTGTCGGTAGCGGATGTTTAAGATCTCTTGTCGTCAGCAGCCTGGCTCCACCGGGAGTAAAAATCCTTATCCGGGGGGACCACCTCCATCAACGGATACCCATGGTCGACAGGACATATTTATACGGGCTCATGACCCTGATCCCTCGGACTCGACGGAGAATACAGAAAGGGTTCCAACATAGCGCTCTTGGGCAAGAACAGGCGAAGTGTGTGGCCGCGTTGACGGTGGAAAACGATTGCGACGACGAAGACGGAGGAGGGGGCAGACAGGATGATGTGATGGGCGGGCGTTGAAGGTGGGCGTCGAGAAAATTCGGCGGACTGTCATGGTTCCCGGATCGGATCCAGTGGATGACGAAGGCCGGGGCAATCCTATTGGACCCAAGAATGAGGATGCCTACTAGCGGCGATTTAGTCCGAGCGACTATGGTAGCTAAGACCGAGCAACCATGCGACTATGCGAGTTCGGATGGGAAGACGAGCAGCAGCAGCAAGCGTGGGTGCAGGTGGAAATGAAGGTGAACAAGGCGAAAGAAGCAGAGGTTCCCCCGAAAAGACGCGCAGCCGGTGGACCCCGGTCCGGCCGATTTTCCGAGCAAGCGAGGTATATTCCTATTATGATTGGCTGCCGTTGGGGCCAACGAACAATCGCGTGATCCACAGTGGAGATTTTCGGCCACGCAAAATTCCATTTCCGGCAAGTTCCCATTCAGGTAAGTTCAATGGACTGGATTGAGAAGGGGGGAAATTGAGAGGAAAGAAACAGAGAAACGGCAACAAAAAAAAAAAAAGGAGTCAAGCCGAAAGAACAGAAGCTAAAGAGAATGAGGGCATGATTGTCATCGTTGAGAAAACTTTTTTTGCGCAATTGCTCTCTCGCGCGC